TTTTTTTCAAATAACTTTATAGCATATTTTCACAGCCACTGAGCATTTGCTAGACAGCTCTAAGGTGCAAGCTGCCTCACCAGTGCCATCTACACTCCTTCAGGTGGGAGACAGGCCAGCCATGATGATCAAGCAGTGAAAACACAGATATTTTTTTTATACTGTATGTCTCACTTGCTGTTTTCTTTTTAACATGTATGTATATATATGTATATATATACTGTATATACATATTTGTGTCTGACTGTCAGTTGAGTCATTTGTAATAAATATTTCTGTAAATAGTGACTGAAATTGTCACATTAAAGACCATTTGTGACACTCATAATTACCTTGTTCTCATTAGAGTTAATGAATTTGTGTTTCTTCACAGGCTTCGTGAGCTTCGACAACCCTGCTAGTGCACAGGCAGCTATCCAAGCCATGAATGGCTTTCAGATTGGGATGAAGAGGTTGAAAGTCCAGCTAAAGAGACCGAAGGATGCCAGCCGCCCTTACTGACACAGCCTACCTTCAGTATTCATTGCAGCAGCACAGGTGAGCACACAAAGTGTCAAAGCACCGTCACTGGTTCAACATTCAGATCCTCAGCATTGCTTCTGTTGAAGCTGAAGATTTAGCTCAGGTTTAAAGAGCGTCACTTGCTTTTATCTGGCATGCTGATGGCCAGACTTTCCATTTCTTATGGTGGCCTGAGCATAAGAGCCTATAGATTTCTTCTATTATATCTAATAAAAATACTACATGTTCAGTGGATGTAAAGCTCAATCCTTTAAGGTTTTAGTATCTGCAGACATGTAGAAACTGTAAGATTGGATTTCATATGCAGCACAGCAGGCGTATTAATTATGGAAAAATCTGTCATCGTCGTGATTGACAAAGATTGATTGGTGTGCCAGTGTGGGTTAGCTCTCTCCAGACCATTACACTGATATAATAGAGCCATATTGAACTATCCAAAGTTTAAAGAAATGGATCTCTGGAATGACAGTTTAATGAGCAGTCAAATCTGAAATTGCCTTTTTCTTCTATTTCCAGGTTTTAGAGGACACGTGAAGATATCTCGGAGGAGTTAAACTTTTTTTCTTTGAAAGCAAAATATGTTTTAAAAAAATCAACACATAAGGAATTTTTGAAGACATATCAGCATTTACTTATGAAGATATAGGTTACGGCAGAGAAAGAAGAAGCGAAAGAGGAGGTGGCGCTTCACCGGGGGACTTAACAGTAACAGATGGCACAGTGCAAGAAAGACAAAAAGAGAAAAAAAAAGAAACTGACAAAAGATGTGATGAGACTGAACAACAGAACTTTTTCTTGTTGAGACTTGAATTGTTAATTAAGCAACAAACTAACAAACAAAAAAGCAGCAACAACAAATAGATTTCTATATACATATTATATACACATATATATAAGGAAAGAGGCGCTTGTGGCTTTTACTGTACTGGACAAATGAGGGTTAAAACTTGAAGATCAAGAAAAGCAGTGGAAAAAAAGAAGCTATTCTATACGTCCACTGACAGACTTTCATTCTCTTTCCCTCTTTCTCTTATTCTCTCACCGTCTCTCTCAGCAAGCGCAGAACTATGACTCTTGGAGGTCACTGAGGTTTCCATTAGCAACAGTAGAACTGCAAATCTTTCACCCCTAAGGGACCAAAGGACCAAACATTTTTATTGTTCTGAACAGTAATATATAGTATTAATGATACTAATACTACAAACTACTACTAATAATATTACAAGTTAAACTTAAGAAGAAATACTAGCTTCAGGTTGAAAAAAAAGAGGAAAGGGGTTTTGGTTTCTTTTCCTTTTACATTTATAGCTACTGGGTTTGAGAATATTAAAGCAAAACAGAAAAAAAAATGTATAAAAAAATAAAGCTATACTATTTTAGTGGCGTAGAATATGTGGGTTAGACATTGTTTCGGGCATGTTCAGATATGTTCTTTTGCCACTCATTGCTCCATCTTACCTCAGTATTTCATCTCGGAGGTGTGATCTTTTGGTGTTATTGTGTCGGAAGAAGAAGAAAACAAGTCCTGTAGTGCCAAAAGTGACACAATAACAGCCTCGCCAAGCAAACATCACAGATCTGCGGCGTATTTAGCCATGTAGTGCTGTCCTCTGTTCTTGTCAGCACATTGCAATTCCATAATTGAAACAAGAGTCATTCTGTGTCATCATTAAAACCTTGATATTACAGATAATCTGACCATAAAGCACCGTGGTAAAAGTGCCACCCGGCTGAGCTGGATACGCAGCAGTAAAACAGCACAGCATCTGTAACTGCTTAATAAAATATACAAATGAGCCTGACAGCAGTTGTAAAAATTTCCATCGGCGTGTCACAGTGGTCCCTGCCAGGTCGTGCCCTCTCCCGCTGCCAAGCTCCTCCAGCTGCTCTCAGCAGGCGAGAGCAGACTCCCCTCCTCTTTCTCCTCCCCTCTCTCTCTCCCTCTCTCCTCACCTCCAAGTGCCAGCATATCTCTCTCTTAATAGGGACCATCAGTTCACGGGGGCCCGAGAGCTAACCCACGGCATAATTAGGATAATGATAATATTGATCAGATGGAGAGCAGCACCACGGGGCAAGAGATGCACAATCAATTACACATTGGCATTTTGAATGAATTGACTAAGTGACAGAGTTCATTTTTCTCTCAGTGGCTGGATGGGAGTCCTTTCTCTCTCTTACTATCATCCATAGTCTCAGAGGGGACCACAAACCTGACAGAGGCAGCATGTCCTGTGGGACATGTTGACGGCACTTAAATCTACATCATTATCGCAAAGAAACTAGAAGGTTCAGAGGTTTAGGCTGCAACAGAATCTGTACATAGAGTTTAGAGTAGATTGTACAAGTTCTTCAGTGAAGAGCAGCTGTATTTTTTTTTTTTTTTCCAAAGGGTATAATAGCACAGTAAGAGCTTGTACACGGTGAGGAACAGTCTGGCATTACCAGCCTTAGGAGGTCAAATTAAGAGCAAAATGATCCATCAATTAGACAGCAGCAGGCCTGTAAGTGTGGCTGCTACAGCTGCTGCTGCTTCAACAAGATGACAGCTTACCATTAGCGCCGGTCACACATGGCTCCTATACAGTGTGGTCACGACACATCACGCCGTATCAGATATGACTAATTAACTAAACTTGCTTCATCTGTGGTGATGCTTTTTTACAAAAAGACACAGGACATCCGAGATGAAATCTGCTTTTCACAAGTTATTTGCCTTTCCTGATTCATCCCTTTTTGTTTAAATAATATATAAATATATCCATTTTAGTATCAGATTTGTTCAGTTAACATTCTCTCAGTTGTCTTTTAATTTGAATTTTTTTTTCAGCAAGCCGTTCATGTGTTCAGTTGGCTCTCTGAAGCAGCTTGCCCCTCAGGACTCTGTGAGACCTCAGCGCTCTGATCATCGCTCTAAACTTTAGACACATCAGTGCTTCAGTCATCAAATCACAGTGTTGTCTCTATGGGCCCATCCACACAAGTAGAGTCTTCAGAAAAAAGGACTACTATGCCTCTGTAGTCTGGTACAACAATTGTTATCAGCAGAATGACTGCCCAGGTCCTGATGACTGTATCCTTTCTTTTATTTTTTACTGTGGCTCAGCCATTCCTTTTTATTTTTCTGCTCCACTGGATCAGTATTATTAGAGAGGGGATGTTTCATTTATTAGTAGACCTTTCACAAATGTTACCCTCATTCACTGTATATTGTTCTGTTGCAGGAAAAACTTAGATGGTGTAAGAAGGAAGTCTTTGAAAATGCCTTTTCTCATCTTGAATTGCCAAATTATGCAAGCATATCCACTGCATCTCCTCATCAGACTTTAAATGTGCCAGATTCCTTGATATTTTATGATAACGTATTATAAATGTGTTACTTTCAGGAAATGTTCATTAGTAGAATGAAATATTTGATTTTGTGATATCGTATAACAGTGTAGGCAGGGGGGGTCAGTTCAGGCTGTTATGATATACAATAGGTACAATAGGCTTTTCCAGTGAAAAGGGTAGATTTCATATATATTTGCCAGACGACAGCTTTTTTCCCCCCTGGTGAGTTACTGTTAGTTTCCTCTCTCCTGTCAGGGCCCAGCAGCTTTAGGAAGCTGTGATATATGCCCTCTTTTCCCCGGGCCATACAGGGCCTTATAAACCCGCTCAAAAATCTTTTCTTATGGGATTTCTACTGGAGAGTTTTTTAAATTATTAAAATCAAATTAAATTTGGCCTTCACAACAGCTTGGGTAATGCAAATTAAAGATGCCAGCTGTGGCTGAAATTTAATGAGTTTGAAAAGATGTTGAGTTAATTTCATTCTGCCAAGAAAAAAAAAAAAGAAAGTTGATTGAGCGCAATTAAAACACTGAAGGTTTGTGGATGGGGACAGTTTCCAACCTGATTGAGTTTACAGTTGTGTATGTAGTGCATAAGCCTGGATATACATATCTGCTATATGATTCAGAAAAAAGGAAGGAAAGTAATGAAAAGACTAAAATCCAGGAAATGAAGTGAGTTGTTTAACTTTCATGAATCATCAGAACTGAAACGGCAGTAATGATTCCATTAGTGTTATACATAAGCTGCATGTGGTCGAGCTGAAGTTTATCTCTTACATTGTTTTCACTCTTGCATCTATTTTTATCATTTTTTTTTTAAATATCTGTCATCCTACCATGGTGCCCTTTCAATCTCTGAGCATGCTCAACGGGGGGCAGGGAGGGTTAAAGATTATGATTATGGTACTACTCGTATTAACAATATGATTCTTTAACTATGGTTTGAATGCTAAGGATAGTAGCTTATTATAAATATGAAATCTGTATATTATGGAAAATCAGCACAGGACCTTTCTTTGGGTAAATATAGGTTAGAGTTTGAAATGGAGGGGGGGGCCGGGGAGGGGGGAGGGTTTCGCTTTATAAAGATCTTAACTTTCTGGTTTCTCAGCACAAAGCATACAAAAACATATAAACAGCAGTATGGAGTCTGTGAAGTAGACTTTACTGACATACAGGGCGCAAAAAGAGGAATCTCAGTACTATTCTTTAAACCTGGAGGAGAAAATGCTGTTTACAGGTTGTATTGTTTTTCTTTCTTTTTTCTTTTTAAAGGAGAGCGCCACCTGTTTTTGTGGCAGCGTCAGTACAGCATGGATTAACTGACAGGGAAAGCAGTATCTTTTTATAAAAAAGAAAAACTTAAAAAAAAAAAAACTAAAAAAAAACTATGTGTTCTGTATTAGCCTGAGAAACCAAACTTTTTTCCCCCTGTTGAAATTTCTTAATACTTGCTGCTTAGATTACTTCATATTAATGATTAATGATTTAATAATTTTATATTTAATTATCAGCTCAAGTATGTAACTTGATGTTTATTTATTTATTTATTTATTATTTTTATTTATTTATTTATTTATTTATTATTTATTTATTTATTTATTTATTTAGCCAGTTTTTTTTTTCTTTTATGGTTATGGTAAGATAAAGATATGTATCAAAAGAAATGCTTATTGGGGCTTTTCTCTCTTTCTCTCCTTTTTTTCCAATTTTACAATAAAAATTCAAACTGGATGTTTTGTTTCTCACACTAATATTGAATGAAGTGTTGAACCACGACACAAAGAGAGGGGGAGTTGTTGCACAAGGCATTGCTCCGCTCCAGGACCTTGAAAGTTGCACGGTTCAGATGTTGCAGCCTCTTACAGCTCGGCACCTTGGAATCTGTTACTGACACCTTATCCATGTTGAGTGATGAAACTGTGATATCAGGGTCATTGCCCTTTAAAGGATAACTGGGTCATTGCTACACACTCTACACACTCCTTCAGTTAAAACAAAACAAAAAAAAACATTTTACAGTTCATATTTTTGTGGCAGCAGCCTTTGAGCTTAGAATTCATCTTGAAATTCTAGATGCTCCAGTGGTAAAAATGAACCTATTTCATCCTCATGTAGAAACTGCGTTGCTGTTTGTGTAGGATGATTTAAATGATCTGTTATTGTGGAAGGGTTTACTAGTTAGCAGGTCACCTGATGCTGCTCTGCTGCAGAGAGACGAGTGAAATATGTGTCAGGATAGTAAAAGAATACAAAAACAAAACCACTGCACACAAACATCAGACATTCTCAGTCGGGAGGTGTCACGCAGAGGCTGTAATAGAAAGACAGGGGAACAAATAACATTATCATCTTGACAAGCAGTAAATTGATATAAGGAAGGCGGCGAGTATCAGTCAAGTTTACATAACTATTGCATGGCTTTGATGCCAGAAGCTAAATCTGATGCAACGTCTTGACAGTTGACTTGCGTCTGCACATACACCTTGTAATCATCATCTTCATACATCAGCACTCACTGTAGCAACAGAAGCAGTACAGCTGAGACACCACATTCATGTTTTGAAGAGCATATGAGGAATAAAAAAAAAGGAAAAAGAATGGGAGGGACAAAAAAGTAGAGCCACTGGCTCATGAAATAAATTGTCCCAATTACAATAAAGTGTGGCTCTTGGTCAGTGTGCACGGCAGGCAGTTCATCTTTATTACAATCAGTTAATGAAAATCAATCCCCCTCCTGATAAACTCTTATCTCCACGGCCTTTGCGCGCCCCTCGTGCAGGGAGATAATAAATTAGGGTAATATTGCCTTTGATGAGGGAGTGAATTGCAAATTATTGTAACTTTCCAAGATTTATGATGCAGATGCTTAATTTCCGAGCTGGGTTTTTTGGGGCGTCAGGGTGCCGGGGGGCCATTTGTTAAAAGTTTGGTGACACAGGCTCGTTAATAAAAATACACCCTCAGACAGCCAGGTGCTCTCAGCTGTTCTCTACTGTAACAGTAGCAGAGAAAACGCTGCTGAAATGGCAGGAGCTCCGAGCTTGTAGGATATATCCTTAGACGTGGCATTTTACCTACAACACAGAATACACATGAAGAGGCAGAAACCCAGGGGATGTAATGTGTTTACTAAAGTATGACTGCCAATCATACGGTTTTATCCCCCCACCCTCCCAAAATCTCTATCACACAAGCCAGGAGCATATGATTTGATATGTAGGTCAATACCCATTCTGCAGTGAGCCAGTGGGTGAGGTGTGTCTAGTTGCTTGCTGTCACTCTGATTATTGAGGAGACACAGAAAGATTGGGTTGGTCAGGTATGAGAGAGCCTGTGGTATGAGATAGCTGTATAATCGCTGCAAGTAGAGCTGTCTAAAAACCACACACACACACACACACACACACACGAAAACTCCCTGAGAAATGAGTAACTTCTTGCTCTTTGTTCTGCAGCAGTGACCCATGTAACAGGGTGTAATGTATGTACACGCTGGACGTCTTCTGTTCGGTGCAACAATCAGACTCTTGAGTGCATCATTAACCAAAATGCTTCAGCGAGAGAGGGTTAGGGGGTCTAACAAGTCGTCAGGAACTGCGGGAATGATGCAAGGTGATCATTTAAGGAGCCACTTGTGAAACTGGAGGCAAACACAATCTCACAAGAGCAGCTGAATGAGTTTACAGCTGCGGCTGACCGACATCTTCGGCATCATTTAGTATCAATGAATCCAGCAAGAGCGTAAACTGCTAAAATGCAACTCACTGAAGATGTTTTCTACATATACAAAAATCACTCCTCATCCTCTGCATTATCTTTTATTAATGTTATCATGTAATGTACATTTGAGGCCTTTCAGCTCCTCTCTTACTTGAGCTATGATACCTTAAACATCAATATCAAAGTGAATTCAAGCCTCATAATGCTTTCCACACTTGATCATCTTGTGATACAAAAGCCTCCTCATCAAGGCCACCTCATTTAAGTATAAGGAAGATCTTGCGTTAAGACAGCCATCAATCTATCCATTATCAATCAAGGAGAGGACTCACACACCACTATCTATTTATCTTGCCAAGTGCTCTATTAATATCAAATTAATTTCCCCATTGAGAGAATCAATCACTCAAGCAGTTTTTTCTCAACTCATTAGCTTGGTAATTGTCCTTGTTTACAGGGGAAAGTCAAGACAGGATGGCTCAAAGAGGGTGGACGAGCAATCTATACAGGCTAGAGCAGTTTCCTGCAAACCTGACGGGACTCTACTGTCAGTGAAGTGTTGAAGTTTTTATACACTCTTCATTTCCAATTTTTCTTTTTATTATAGAAGTTTTCAATGTCAATGTAATTTTTTTCACATTTTAAATGTTCTGAAGTTGTCAAGAAACTCATCACCTTACAGCAGACGGAGAGGGCGCTCTCACATGGGGTTATTATATAAGGCTGGTAGTGTCTGACAGAGCTGTCAGGTGACTGTATCTCAACAGGTAACATGAATCAAGACAGGGCCTGAAGCTTTTCAGCTTTGTTTAAACCATAAAGCACGTAGGTTGGAGGAACATATCTCATCAGCTGCAACACACAGAGCACAGAGCAACGTATTTTGATGAAAGGTGGTAGAGTGAGCCTAGAGGAAGAATTATTCAGGTCATTAACTTCAGGAAAAAGTATCAATACAACTGTGTAAAAACAAACAAGTAGTTCCCACACGAGTAAAGGTACAGCAAAATGTACTTTAAATATCAGAAGTACAAGTACTTATAATCAAGTAAAGTGTTCCTTGTGACTGACACATTATTATAAATGACGGTATTAGATTTTCAGTTCCGATACATCAGTATGTAAGAAGCATTTCCCTGTTGTAGCTGGTTACATGCAGCTAGATCAAACCACATTAAACACGTTCAGTGGTTCCCAGCCTCGTGGTCCAAAGTGTCACAAGATGAAACAATCAGTAAAGTAATTGATTAGTTGATTGACAGAAAAATAATTTGACTTTGGGTCTTGAACATGACAGAGGGACCTTGTAATGAGTCATAAGCTGAAACGCTGGCAACCACTGGTTTAATCTTTAAAAATGTTTTTTTTAATTTTATGAGCTTGTCTGAAGTTTTTTAATGTAAAACTAAATCCGAAAAGTAACCAGTAACTATATCTGAGAGATGAATGTAGTGGGGTAAAAAGTACAATATTTACCTCTGAAATGTAGTGCAGTATAAAATAGCACATAATGCAAAGATTCAAATTAAGCACAGGTACCTCAAAACTGTACTTAAGACGAGTACTTGAGTGAATGTACTACACCAATCCACAATCGCCTCCCTCCTTCTCCATCCCTCTCCTCCTTCCTCCTAAAATGAGGAAGGAGGTGATGAACTTGATCCAGGCGATCTGAAATGTGCCTCACATGTAAAAGTGTTAAATTGAGGCTGTGTTTCATCAGCCGTCTCTCAAACCACGCAGCTCACCGAGGTGTTGTCTTTATTTGAAGAAATGGGACATGGAGAGATTAAGTATGACTGCACATGTGACGAAACATGCTGTCACTCAGAGTTACTTTTAACTCAGTTCAAGATAAAAATTAAATCTACATCTACTAATTATAGAGCATTAATTCTTAATGTCTTTATAAAGGAGTGTGCTGGAGCCTTCTTAATTGCATTTTTGATGGTGATAAAAGCTGATCACATCCCTCTCTCTAGTCCCAGCACTCATTGTTCATATACAGTGCAAATATCAGCACCGTGTGCTGTTGTTGACTCTAACCTGGTGTTAACCACAGACTAAATCCTATTTGGAGCCATGCAGCGCTCTGGCAGACAAAAGCAAAGCCAGCAGCCAGCTCAGCACTCAGAGGTAACATTTACACAGGGGACTGAGAACATACTGTGGATCCCTACAGCTACACAGCCAGCTTGTCAAAACTGTCTTTATACTACAAGCTGTCAGGCCTTATAGACTGAGGACCCCAACAGGACAGAAGTGGCATTACAGGCACAGAGTTAGGAAATGCCACTACTGTGAAACACTGTTATTTTAAAAAATGTTTACTGTCATTTTATGATTATCTGACGTCTCAACTGAGAAACAGTGCACACGTTTCCCCATTCATGTTTCAATAACTGCAAAGTTCACAAAAGAATGACAAAAAAGAAGGAGAAAAACAGTTCTTGGTCGAGTGTCCAACACTTTAATACAGAAAATGACACATACAACACAAACATATTAGTTTACGTTTCTTACAATGTCTCAAAATAACCTACTAAACACAACAAATGTAAAACATATTACAGTTAAAACATCTATACACGGGCAAATGTACACAATATAAAACACATATATACACTCTTTTAATATATTATTATATAAAGATTTGTTGTTTTTTTTTTACCTTTAAAACTGGAAGCCAAACAGCTTGAAGAGGAGTGTTTCACAGAAGATGAGAAACTGCTGAGAATATCACACTGACACATCATATATTATGGATAGGTAGTTTTTACATACAGTTGTTGGATCCTGTGTATTTAACATGTCGATTTCAGAAATAGACAAAGAAACAACATTTAAATACACACAACTTGCTGTTAAAACCTGTAAGTGCTAGTGATGTTACTGGATTATACAGGATCTAGAAGCCATATAAAAAACAACTTTGAGTTTATGACATTTAAGCAGCTCCATACATGGTGGAGTGTTTGGAGGTTGTGCATTTTCTCAGTAAAAATGAAATATTTACAAAAAAAAGCCCCATGGAGGTCAGCACACACGATTATGAGTTTTACCTTTTAAAATACTGATGTAAACCAATTAATAGTGAGAGTGTGAAAATGGTGAACACATTGTATTTGACCTCAAACCACATGACTGTATGTGAATCTGTTTTACTTCAGATGATGGGATCCACGTATAAATCCACAGATAATGTAAAGTGGGAACAAACGTCATCTTTCATGAGTGTGAAATCCTTCAAATGACAAAAACAGAAAACATTCAAAATTTCCAAGAAAAACAAAACAAAAACAAATACATGTCTGAGCTCTAGTCACTCTTTCCTCAAGCTGGTAATGCTTCCACGTTTTGTTTGCTTCCATGTTTCTCCTTTTTTAAAATCATTAATATTCATTTATTTTTTTTTTTACAAAAGCAGCAGAATGAGGAGTATGAGTGAGAGCAGGGGACTGTTGGCCGCTGCTGCTGTCGACGTGTGTGACACCCCTCTGTTGTAAAAATGAGGAGTCCTCGGGGAGTTCTGCTTCAGTTTACTGGGCGGCAGAGCCTTTAAATCCTCCAGAGCGCCATAGGCTGCCATAGAGAACTCAGGGTCTCCTGTGGTCAGCAAGTCAAACACACAGGACTGAAAGTACACATCTTCCACCTGCAGAGTCTCTCTACACTTGGCCGTGGCCCGCTCCACCGTGTAGACCTGGTGAGGAGGCCGCAGAGGGCCCAGTTCTGTGTTGGTGCCCTGCAGGCGGGGCTGCTGGCTCTGCCGGGCCAGTGTGTGCTCTTTGATGAGCTCATTGCGCGGGCAGCCGTGCAGGCAGAGCTGCAGACCCCCGTTGTCCTCCGAAAAGTCCAGGTTGTCCTCCGGCATGCGGATGGCAAAGGTCAGGTAGCTGCCAACGCGCCGGATGATGATGGAAGTGCCGATGTAACGGGCCTGAATCTTCACCTGCCGGCCCACTCCAGAGCCACCACGCTCGTCAATGGTCAGGCTGCCGCTCTCACCACCGCTGCGAGTCCCATCCTGAAAAGCCAACGGCAGATCCTCAGTGGTGGCCTGGTACACCTTCTGATCTGTACAGCCGTGATAGGACTTGAAGATCACTGTGATCTGAAATGTGGAGAAACAAATAAAATCAATATTAAATCACATATGAAAATATTTTACAAGACAAATTTGTATTTTATGTTATAGTGTGAATATTCTCCCAAACATAAAACAACTGATAACTGAGCTAAAAGGTCACATCTTTGCTTCAATGTAATGATACACTTGAAAGGTACCTGCCTAAACCCTGAATAAGAGCAGTATTGATTAAAGCCACAAGGTGGCAGCAGGAAACCACAAATTTAAAAGGCTGAGGAACACGTTTGTGGGCCTCCCTGGCTTCTCCCCATACACTGACAGTGAATTTCCCTTTGGTATAATCTTATTCCAATTTTAAGTATTCAAGAGGATTGTTGTCACAGACGTCTAATGGTTCATAACCAACCAAACTCCTCACATTAATGACAACTAAAATCAATTTATGGTCTTTACAATCACCGATCCTTTCTTACACACACACAACAAATACTAACACTAAAAATAAGGGCAATAACTCCACTACTCTTCCTTGAATGTCAGATCAAACAGCACTGTTTTATAAGCGGCTCAATTATCTGTATATGTTCCATCACCTCTACAGTGGCACTGCTGGTTTTTGCTCAGTGACTGACTGTGATTTGTATTCCAGCTGAGCTTTGAAAAATTGGGGCCTAACCTCTGTTTCTTCAAAACATCTTGACAAAGCGGTGGCTGCGGTTACGTTTACACTTACGGGGATACTGTATTTGATGGATGATTTCCTGTCTTAAGTCTGGCAGTTGAAAACAACTCCAAAAGCATGATGGGTCCATGCGGGTGCTGGCACAGACATGCAGACTGTACACACACTACAGGTTTGCATTAGGCTGCATATACCTTTGAAAAAGTTTGCTCTGAAATCCCTGACACAATATGACACAGTTTATTGTTTTACATAGCTTGGTTTCAAACAGGAGAATTGGTAAGTTTAGGGAAGCCAGTGACATTACCCGAAAACATAGAGCTTTTAAAGGCCAGCCTATTTAATTAACAGAATTTAAAAAAAAAAAACTTGCTGCAGTCCAATTATTCCTTTATTTTTCCACATTATTCCATATTTACACAAAAAGCGCCCAGTTAATTATTTGACCAGAGGGGTGAAAAAAACATTCCAGATCGTGGTGGTGGAGGAAAATGTTTGAGTGAGCGTTAATCACTACCATATGACCACCCATGTGTTAAAGGTAGAGCGCTCAAGCATGTCTGTGATTCAACACCACTAAGGACTCCCCTCCTCTCTTTTCCCCTCACAGATCTGAAGGAGCTCCAAGACAAGAGGAATGCTGGAGGCTCGAGAGGCACCGTGGAATGACGATTAACTTCACATGTTTGATACTTCATGGCAATACTTAAGCTCGCAAGCTAGCATCCAAAAACAGCCTACTCATATAGGCCATTAAATTCAAACTTAGTATAACAAAAGTGTTGATTTCTAATATGGACATAGGCGGTTGTTGTGACAAAAGTAGTAGATTTCCACTCATAATGCAGAAAATCTTATATTAAAAACAATGACCAGCACTTTGATCAAATTATACAAGATACTAAATTCACTGCACCTTCTAAACTGGTGGTTCCCTAGCTGAGGTTTGAGACCTCCCAAAGGGGTTACAATATAAATCTGCAGAATGAAAAAATTAATTAGGTTTATTGTTGCCAGGTGCCTTTAATGTTTGCTTGTTTTTCTTGTGAAATTCTGAATAGATACTTATTCAAGCCTCCAAAATGTATTCAAATTAAACTATATAAGAAATGAAAATAATATTTTGGTTGAAACAACTTAAAGAGGCAGTTGCAAACTATGACAGGGGTTGCAAGTAGACACTACTTTGTTTCAAGGGCTCACACGTCCAAAAATATGGGAACCTCTGATATAAAACCATGCTCACCTTGCTGGTTGCCGTGGCGCTCGAGCCGAGGACAACAGGCACATTGGTCACCTGCACCGACAGGAAGCGGTTATCAATCAGAGGCCACGCCCCTTCCACCTTACAGGTCTGAAACTCGTCTCGGAAAGTCCGTAGGTGCGGGTCTCCAAATAATCCACAGTGGGCGTATTTCTTCTGCTGACCCGCTGAGCCAGACATGAGGACCCGATTCTCATAGTCGCACAGCTCCGACACAGCCGGCCGAGACGTGCTGGGCACCTTGGCGGAGGAGGTGGGCCCGTCGCTGGAGCAGTTATGCTGAGAGAATAACTCCTTAATGCGAAAGACAGCTGAGTGGTAAACCAAGTCACCCCTACAGCTGCGTGCCTGCCGCCGGGTGCACAGGGCGTAGGCCCTCAGGGCGATGCAGTAGTCCACATCCAGAGCCACGTCCTCCTGCAGACCACTAGAGGGTGAGGTAGAAGCCACGTACTCGGCATTGCAGCGCTGAATTCGACACTGCTGGCAGTGAGCTGAAAAACAAAAACAATGAAAATCAACATTTTGTCCTGCAACACCTAAATATGTGACAATAACTATGAAAATTTTGTTTAGTCATTATCCTCCGTTACCTCCCTCTCTGCAATAATTATGCTGATGATCTACCAATATAACCCATACAAAGTTTACTTCTTTTAACAATCTAAAATCCATCTGACATTTACGGATACATTACGTCAGCTCAATACTTGAGCCAGCAGAGTCAAAACTTTTCCACTATCAAGTTTAGCTCAATCAGGAGAGCCATTAAAACCCAAATGTGTGAGCTCACGAGGCCATGATCCCACACTGTGCTCCAGAGTCAGTCAAAACTTATTTCCCCCAACTAGCCCTCACAGAAATAGCATGTAGCCTCACTGTAGGAGGAAATCAACCTGTGTTAGTTTGCCTGAGGGTGTTGAATGTGGTTTGGCTGTTGCTGAGGTAATTGAAATCCATTAAGCTACTCTACATGGCACGGCAGAGCTCGGTATATGGGGGCAGCTAACTTCAGGAGGATCACAAGAGGAACATCACAAAGAATGGTGCTTCTTCCGCATCTCAGGGTCCTAACTGGAAGCTGGGCAGGGGTAGGGGCTGCAAACACAGCATGTGATATTTAGATGGTATTGCCTAAATACAGGGCTTCCGGTTGAGTTAAGACTCACATGTGGGATATTATCATTATATTACCAAGCAAAAGAAAGAACTACAACTTCCTTCTGCAGGAAATAAGAGTGTAGACATTCATCGAGTTCATTTCAGTTGTGTGTTACTTTTGGGTGGGATGTCTGGGATGGATTTCATTTTCCATTTTCAACAGACAGCAGATCAACATCAGCCAGCATCCAAAACACGTACATCACTTCTACTGCAAGACTGCGATCAGTTGCAATACACTGCCCTTCTATGGCAACAGAGAATTCTTCTGTTTACTCCAAAGCTCCATCAAATCTCCCAACTGCCCGAACAGAGACGACAAGACAAGCATGGAGATTTCACACCAAGTGCTCATGAATATTTTTTTAATCATTTCTTCACTTTACATCTGATTCACAGAAGGAGCATGGCAGATGATTAATGCATCTCACTGTCACTGCAGTTCAACACCAGCCCTGATAAAACCGAGATGGAGTGTGAGAGGTCAAGTTAGAGCCATTCTGCATCCCTCCACTGAATTCCAACAGGGCTCCCCCGTCTCGTTACGAGGTCACCCAAGTCTGCTGTGATTGACACTTTTTGACAATCACTGCCTGTGAGGCCATCAACAATCATGCATCTCCCTGAAGAGTCTTTTTGCTCTGGCACTTAGTAGGCTCCCAATAAGTGTGAGGACCATAGGGGAAACATGAGAACAGAAAAAGGAAAATTCAAACAGACCACACAAACAGCATTGGTGTTAGTATATTATAGATTAGTAGATTACAGTTATATAGATAGAGAAGGAGACAAAGGCACTGTTTTACAATGGTTTCGGCCTGGTCTGTAGGTTGCAGTGTAACAAGTGTCAAATAGTCAGTATTGGTTCCAACATAGCCACAATGCATGCCTCAGTTGGCTCAGGGCCAGATACTCAAGATCAGTACAAAACAATCCTGAAAACATCTTTACATTGTATTAAATGGTAGATAAACTATTTTTTAAAGGTTTTTGTTAAATCATAGTGATTACACTTTGACACTGTAAAATAAATACTCAAACATGAAGAAATTTGCCAATGTTTTGGACACAAGTCTATTTCAATAAACTTATGTACATACAATACAGTTTTTTTTTGTTTGTTTTTTTACTATAACCAACTTCTAAATGCCTTTCAGGCACTATTTCAGTGTATTTCAACCATCACACCACTTATAGTGCTCATACACTACTTAAAAATAAATTTGAACCTTGTGTGTTGCAAGACATAGCTCCAAGAGTACTGTTTATCATCTTTACATATAATGTTTTCAGGACTGATTTGTTAAATTAAAGCATGATTGTCTGAATAACTAACATTAAAGTTAAATACCATTTATATTCTGTCATTTGTTTACTCATCTAAGTTGTAACATTTAACGTTAAAGATATCCACATCAAATAATACTTTAATAATTAGTATGTGACTTTCGCGTTAATAACAAAATAAATGTATAAAGAGTACGGTTGTGTGAATAGTTTTTTCTAATTCCCCGATAGAGATTACTCAAGTCTAACTTCACAACAGTTGAAATAAACAGCTGAAACCCCCTTGGTAAAAAAAAATAAAAAATCTCATCAAGTGTGTTAACTTTGTCTTAAACACAAAAGTGAGAAACACTTTAGGGAACTGGACATTACATATGAAATATATCAACTTCAAAATCCAAACAAAGCATGCTCTTTGATGTGGTTCGGTTAGCTGGTTCCTGGTCTCCGGCTCGGACAGAGGAGCGACCAACACGTTCAGAGGCCAAAAAGTTGGACCCCCATGCATGGTGGCTAACAAAGTTAATAAATGAAGCATGAATAGGGGGAAATATCGTGCTCCAAATAGACTCGACAACAGCTTAAACCATCCAAACTAGATGTAAAAGCCACCGTCGAGAAAAGAACACTAAATGTAACCGTTTGGTTTTCTATTAGCGGCATTTTCTGGTTTTTAAAAAACAAGCCCCGTGGTTTTCTTCTGGTCCGACTGAGGGTGCTGAACGCCAGTTGCTAATGAGCTATGCTAACGGGGAGCTAAGTCGTAACTGAACACAACTTGGTAAAAGTTGCAGCAGCAATGCGTCTGTTTGGTTAAATGTGTGAACTGATAATCGGTTGGTGGCAAACTTGTTTAATAAAGTTGTTTTGGGTGCGGAAAGTGGTAAATTTGTGAAAACAGACGTCCGTAAAGTGAGTTAACTCGTGCTGCTCGGCTAGCAGCGATACAAGTGTTGCAGTGCAGGCTGGAGGCTGGGATACTCCGCAGCAACAGGACATTACTTTGTCCCCGCTGTGGACGGGGTACTTTTAAACAACAGCGACTCTTTTCGTCCCTCTTTAAACACCAAACACGCAAAAGCCCGTAATTATATGCAAGGAAAGTTAAAAGTCATTAAAGAATTTGAGTTTAGCCACACAGCGAAAAAGTTAACTTTTTTCCACCTCCACCTCCATTTCAGGGAGTGCGGGACGCAGCTTTGCATGCAGGAGAGGAGTGGAGGAGCACGGATTGAAAAAGGCAGCACTTACCTGGTCGAAACAGCAGCGAAAGTAAAACCATCGTCAACGTTACACAGTCCCAAAGCTGCCGCTTAGCCGTGATTTGAGGTCCGCTTCTCCCCATACCAATCCATTCAGTTAGAATGGAGTTCCTCGACTGCTTCTCATCGACGCTGTGGCTGCGGGAAATCAGACAAAAATTCGTCTTCTTTCCCAAGCGCTGTCATTCAAAAGGGGCCCCTGTCTTCAGGGCGGCTCTACGAGGGAGGGGTCTAAAGTGTAGACTGGGCCCAGAGGTGACTGCTGGCCAATGAAATACTAATTATTCAGTAACCACTTGATATTTACATGTAGTGGCAATTACTTGGGACGTGGACAGTGGAAGAGTGCCCTCAACAACAGTGAGGGCGGCGAGAAATAATAATTGCCCTGATTATGATTGAAGAATCACAGGTTTTTGTGGCTATAATAGATATACAACTGCCTATTACATTAACATGTATAATATATGGCATGTATGTGCTGAGGTTAAAATACAGGGCAATTCACCATATTCAGAAGTGACAAGTAATAAAACTTTTCTCATGCAGAAAATTTAAGTCTTTGCACTACAAAGCACTCAGGGGCATCTGCCCTGTTTGCCTCCCCCTCCTCCTGAGGACAAATGTTTGTGTGTTTTCAGCATTAAGCAGGATTTTCTCACCTGTTGTTTTCTCACTCTAAACTAAGAGCTAAAATAATGGAGTTTGATTAACAATTGTAAGTGCAAACTAACAAATTTGCTTAGTTTATCTAGAGATTGTGTTATATATATGTTATATGTTATAGATTCCATATATAGAACCAGAAACTCTCATTGTGAAGTTAGAGATAGCATTATCCTGACATTAATGAACAACAAGTAGAGTGAGAGCGTGAATAGAGGTAACCTATAATGTGGGGTTTTCTGCATTGCAGATAGTTTCTTTGGGGTCGGTAAATTCCCCCTTTAGGTCTCTTTATCCTGGTTGCCAAAACACGGCTATTGTCTGTTTTTGTCACTTACAAGATTCAGAGAAAAATACTCTAACTCAATTATTTTCTCTCAGCAAATCTCAGTGTGTTATTCATTTTTCCATTACATTTTCAGTTAGCAACTTGTGTGTTACTCTTTTGCTTTTGTGGCCAACTTTCCATCTCTCTCACTCCTTCAACGACACTCCGTCTTTCATTTGCACAGCTGCTGTGAGGCCAGACCATCTGCAAGCCACATAGACTCACCAGCTTTCAGTCTTTTTGCCCGACACACACACTGTGCGTTTTTTGTGCCATGCAAATAAAGAATTTTAATGCGCCACCCAATTACTGAATAAAATATTGGTATTAAGAAAATTAACAGTAAAGGTTTGTGTAGTTTCTAGAATTAGCTTAAACGTTGAAGCTTTGTTTTGGTGCAGATGGGACATTTGGTTTGTAGCTGTGGTCTCCCTCTGCGCTTTCCTCCTGACTTTATGAGAGAGAAGTGAACCCAGACAGTTATTGGATCACTGGTTTTTCTATACACATGCAGGCTCCTCCGGCCACACAATTGTGTGATTCAGGTGGCCTGTCAGTCTTGTGAAAGGTCTTCACAGGCCCATGTTGATGTGGGGCTGATATATATAGTGGAGGGGGAAACGAAGACAGCTCAACCCGAGTGGAACGTTTGGATTGTTCTGAGCTGCCAGAGGGGCCTCTGTCACACTGGATCCAGTGTGCCAAGTTTATCCCCCCAGAGGGCTCTACCTTACTCTGTTTGTTCAGCTAATTTTGGAGGCTTGGTTGGTTGATCTGCTTTATGGCTGTGCTTTATGGTCACATTTAAATCCCCTCAAACAGGTTACACTTCGTATTTCCCATGACAACCTGGAGACAGGGCAGTGACGCAGTGTAGGAGGGAGATCTGTTGATGGTGTGGATGTAACGTACAGAAGATTAAAATGAACGCATGTCTCACCTGTTACAGTGTTTGCCGTCAGAAACAACTGATGACATTTCCTGTGGAAAGAAAACACATTGTTAAATTCAGTGTATAACAGCTGAAGATGAGAAAATGCTCACTTTTAGTAATAGTGATGGAAACAATACATTTGCTCACCTAATGTGTGTTACATAAAGATAAAAGACAACAAAATCAAAGCCATAGTTTCACTCAATAAGCAGCTGTCTACTAAATGAACCACGGTTCCACACCACGGCACTGATGACCACTGAAGCAAACAGTTAATTGATCCAGGTGGACGGTAAGGATGAATTCAGCACATGAAAGAAACTCTGAGACCGCCTGTCAGGCTTGATGGGGGGAGAAAGACCTCTTTATTCCCACGTTTCCTTACGAGCGTATTGCATTGCATGACCCAGCAAATATGTATACACTACCAACTCTGAAACAAGTTCGAGAGAGAGTCAGGGTGTGGGTAAGAGTGTGTATCAGGTAAAAAACAAGGCCGGCATATTTCTCCTGCTGACAGTGGGTCACTTGTTCTGGTACAATCGAGAAAAATAAAGTCTGCAGAGTCGGTTTCTATCGACCTCAGCAATGAGAGGAAGGAGTTTTTGAGTTTTGTAGAAATATCAAAATTATCAGAAAAACAAAGAAGAACAGAGGACCTAAAAGCAGTGCTTGATCATTAAAACTTCAGACTTAGAGGCAAAAAATGTAGAGAGCGAAGCAAGAGGGAGTGAGAAAGAAAGAATGGGAGAAAGGGGGGAAGGGAGGAGGAAGGGGGAGAAAAAGAGGGAGTGAGGGATTGGGTTTCCTCTGACTGTGAGTCTGGGCAGCTCCACATGTTCCTCATTAAGGTCCTCACACTGTGGGACCAGCTCCACACCGGGATGCTTGTTTTTGTTATTAGGCCTAACGTGCTGTGGTCTGGTGGAAGCCTGAAAACAGGGCCAGTTCAGGACCATCTCCTCAGCTCACTGTCCTCAAACTGAAGGAACAATAATGCCACTGACTTCACATATATCTGCATGGCCACATGGTAAAAAAAAGCTGTGTATTTTCACAACCTGCAGATAATACATTTTTGCGTATGTGAAACTGTAAAATTCATATTCAAATCTAACCTGATATGTATGAACCTGTAAATACAATAACTACACAACCCCGAACCATCTATTCTCTTTGGCTGTTAACAGAGACTGTAAACTTTAAACTATTTAGTTTTTCTGGAAATGCAATGTTTACAAAATAATGATAAAAAAAAAGTAGAGTTGCGGGAAACTGTACATTTTTCATGCTTCTGATTTTTGTTTAATTTCATGCCCATCTAGATTTGTCAACTGAGACATGTATCATGTTTCTTCTAGCGGCTGATAACATCAGAGATTGGAATCAGAAGTAGCACGCGCCCTCTGTAGCCTCCACTAGCACCACACGGTTGCAATATGAGAGACACACTTATTGAATTTTAAACAGGAACTAGAGCAAATTGAGTGTTTTTTTTTTCTGAGGACCCCTGTCTGAAATGAAGTGGCCTATAGCACAGCTGAGCGATAGAGAGAGAGAGAGAGAGAGAGAGACAGAGAGACAGAGAGAGAGAGAGATGCAGAGAGTGAGTGTCTCTGGTTCAGGCCTCTCGCTGTTAGAGGGGATCTGTTATCTCAGCAGAGATAAGAGAAACTGTGGTGTGAGTGTATACGGGGCAGCACTGATAGCATCTCCATTCAAGGATCCCACTTACGGCACCCTGATTGATAGCTGACAGCATATGGGGGGGGGGGCAAATGACAGCATTTGGAGTGCCTTTGTAGGTACCCCTCAGTAGGTATCCATGCAGGCATCTGTTTGCTGTGTTCCTTTGGATCTTTGTCTCTGAGTATACACAAATTCTCACACATGCATGTCATCTGTGCAGAGAGAGTACTAGTCAGGGCTCTGCACTGCCTGAAATCTGAACTTGTGAGTGTGGAAACAAAGGGAAGATAGATTTTTATTCACATATTTTAACATAAAACCAATTCCATCTGTCTAAGTTGCTTTTGTTTGTTACTTTGGTCTTCACCACACTGAACCAAACTCCTCTCCTCTTCCTCCCTCCTTTTTCGCAGAACAAATGTTGACACAGCGTCAAGCCCTGTGCTCGTGAATAGACAGTCAACTGACAGGTAACCCTAGCTGTGGGGTCACAGGGTCATCCCAGCCTGATGAGGGATGATGGGTAAAATAAATGGAGAGCAGCACACAGAGGGACCTCTGATGTCCTCGGCCTGAAGGGAGAGAGTTCAGGGCCATTTGACCTCTGACCTAAGCCCTGCTTATGTGTTTGTGTGTATGTGTTTTGAGGGTTAAACCTCTCCCCGGTCTTGAATTCTCTAATATTTTTCCTACCTTTATTTTCCAGGCCAAGTTATTTTAAACCAATAAATCAAGTAGCACAAACAGTTCAATGTATGGCTTCACTGAACAGCCTGTGAAGCTTATTCCAATGCATAACGTTGTTTGAACATGCCTCGTCTTTCTCTTTTCATGACAACACTCCCTCACGTCTAGTCTGCAGCCATGATGCATTATGGAAACAGGGAACAAATTGCTCTGTAATGACCTATCACAACTCTCTTTGCTCCCAGAAATTGAAATGCTCATACGCCTCTGCACCCACCAGCTCGAGATTTAATACTCAATACTTTTCGCCTTTCAGTTTGTGCATAGGCGTGAAAGAATGTTTGAGTAATGCAGGAAATACACTTTATTCTATTTGGATTTTGTATTCATTTTTCTTCCTACATTTCAGATAAATAAAGATAGATAAATAAATCTCAAGCAGTTGAGTAATATTTCAAGGAAGATTTTTCTCTCTTCTTTCATTTGTAGACTGAGATTTGAAAGTATTCTTTATTTTAAACTCTTGCATTTTAGGAGTCATAGAAATAATGACCATTTTCAAATCTTTAGCCTAATGCCAAGTATTTTAAAAGCTGCCTTAGGCTTTTCCTCCACGTACACTTTTTGTCCTTTACACCTGACAGCTCGAGGCTTAATCTGCAGATGTGTTTGTGATAAAGCGTGTCCTTCAGTTAGTCTGCAACAGTTGGTATTGTTTCTGCCCTGGCCCACCCAGACAACTGCCCTGAACCAGAAATAGAAGGATAGACAATAACTCATGAGAGTATAAATTTAGCTATTTTGATCTACCAAATTTTTAGCCAAGAAGGCATTTAGAGAATGTCCCTCCTGCCTGAGTTGCTTTAA